GGTGTCCCTGTGCTAGCCAGAAACGATGCAAAACGTTTTAAGAAGAATAATTTACAAAGTAGAGAAATGTTGGAGGACTAAAGACAGCGCAAAAATAAACTGCAAAATTTCAAAAGCAAAAAAGCAAAAATAAAAAATAAAACCGCATTGGAATACCCTCTGGCAATTCTGCTGAGAAAAAAGGCATTTAAAATCATTTAAGGAACTCGCAAAAAAAAGAAACTTTCGACATGGCATGCCAAAGTTTTTGTGCCGTTTTACAACCTCGCACTTGTGCCCAAATGCTTTACGCAGCGTCAAGTTCTTATGCCAAGTTACATTTGTACAAATATACATACGTACAAGTGTAAACACAAACACACACACCCTTTTATGGCTATAGAGTTTAAGCTGCAAAAAGTCCACTACTAACTTTTAATCCGCATGCCCTTCTTTTACCTACCTTTTCTGTGCCTTTCTACGATTCTGCAGCCGTTTTTCTTTTCATTTTTCACATTTTCCGCCATTTTGGTAAATAAGGCTATACAAAGTAAAGCTTACTTTCATACGTTTGTACATACTTATGAATGTATGTGCTATATACTTCACTTTTTGAATGTATGTACATACATATGTACATGCTAGTATTTATGTATCTACATAAGTACATATATATCTACATTAGGTCGCGTCAATTTGTATGGGAGATTTTTTCGACTATGCGCGTATGGCAGAGAAGGATTCTACGTGTAACCTTAAGCGAATTTGAAGAAGAAACCATGGGTCTAAAATCGATTTGGAGTCCATGGAGACTCAAAAAATTAAGAATATTTTTTCATTTAATAGCCAAGACTGATACTACTCAGGTCGAAGATATCACATAAAAATTTTGGTCCCGATTATCATGAAGGATGGCACATTCCACTTGCCAATTCCCCAAGCACCAATCCATTGCTCCTGCTTTATGGTGTGTGTGTATGTATGTATATACATATGGGCGAGTATGTACCCTGCAGCAAATCAAACTGGTTCAGAACTTGCGCTGAGCTAGCCTGAAAAGGGACGGTACTGGTTCTTCATCTATTCCAACTCAATGCTTGCAACTGTCTTTTTTAACATGGCGATGTCCTACGAAGTGACAATTGTCGCCCTCTGCAGAACTTTTGAACTTGTTCTGAGCTGACTCTAGCTTAGATGGTTCTGATACAGTTCATATGACAACAGTTCTTAGATAGTTCAAAAAGGGTCACCTCCGAGCTAGAAAAAATGTGGTTAGTTTTGAGCTGGTTCTAATAAGTATAGTATAGAGCCTTTTCTTTAAATAAGCACGCATACAATTTTGTAAATAAAAATACTTCATTTTATGTTTAAAGAGCTATTTGTTTTGAACTAATTACTTTTTGAAGCAAACTGTGTGTCAATTATTCCTTTATTTTCTAAAACCGTTATTCTTAAAAATAATTTATAGTTGTTATAATGGGTATTTCTGGGATACCTATAGTTAAAAATCTGAACTAAGTCGTGTCAAAAAATGAGAAAAACGATGATATATTGAATCGTTTTTGTGATAACTCAGCGTTAAATTGGATTAAATTTATTGAAATGTAATACATAGAATTTCCGGCATCTCATAAGAAATATAGAATTTTAAATATTTGCAATAGTTTTCATGCTAAATATTTTTCGTAAATTTTTTATTTAAGGATGGCTCATAAGTATTATAACATAAACAAATAAATTCACGTTTCTAACTGTGTTGGAAATTCAGTAGAATTCTAGAAACTGTTATAAAAACTTCAATATTTTAAATCAGTTTATGAGTATGCAGTTCTATAGCCGATTAAATTTTAGTATAATTAATCGCGCTGATTTTTTATAACTCTTTTTACGCACGCTCTTGAAGGCATTCTCATATTTAAATATTTTCCTTTAAGATGTAAGATTACACTTTGCTACACTAAAATTTGATGGGCTACAAAACAGAATACTCGAAATAGTTCTATCAAGTTTGCAGCACAGTTAGGAATTTTAATTTAAATGGTTTATGGAGTATGAGACATAGTACTTAAATAAAAACTAAACGAAAAATATTTAAGATGAAAAACATTGGAAATTAAAAAAAAATCACTGCATAACTACACATTTCGGGTCAAGGCGAATTTATATAAGGTGGTGTTGTTTAATCAGCTGTGTGTAGCGTTTGATTGTCAAAATTTTATATTTTGCTAGTGAGTGAGTGAAAACGTGAAAGTGTTTGCATTTTCTGTCGCCCTTTTTCATTCGGAGAAGAATAGCTGAAATTTGACAATCACCAGCTAAAACAAAAAAACAAAATACAGGTAATTGTTGTATTTGTTGAATCGATACCACCTTATATGAATTCGCCTTGTTTCGGGTGCCTAGTGATACATTTACGTATGTACAGTATCGTTCATATCAATAGCACTCCCATTTCAAAGTGAGATTGTTTACCACTTTGTTTATTTTTTTAAATCTGATTAAAAAGTCAAACATTTTGATGAAAAATCGTTAAGTTTAACTTTCGTTTTGTATAAAGTTTTAAAACACGGTTAATATTATTTTATTTTAAGCATGATCATTTAAATAATAACAATTTTTAACTCTCAATATATTGTGAATATTTAAAAAATAAATGGTGTACGCAGACCTTTCCTGTCAAGTGTAGCTTAACTAAATTTTATATTTTGCATTAAATTTTATACGTACGTAGATATGTATAAAAATGACATTAATGTTACCAATAACGACTTTTTTGGAAATATTTTAGCAGTTGCCCCATAAACTATGTAGAGAATTACATATTAAATAAACGAAAACAGTTTGTTATTAGTTTTAGGGTCTAAGAAAATCGAGAAAATATAGTATATTACATTTGTGCATCTTTTGTCAGCTTTCACATGACCAGGATGACTAACATTGATGACAGCGCAACTAGCAACATATGAGTTTCAACCGTCCAACTCAGCATCCCTTTTACAGTAGTTCAGAGAGAGTTCTGAAATTTGTAGGGCGGAACTAGCGCTTTGACAGACTGTCCCTAAATTTTGCTGCAGGGTACATACATATGTGTGCGTAATTTGTCTTTAATAGAAATTTAAGTTCTGCGATAAAGTAGCTTTTTATAGCAAACTAGTTCGGGAAAACTTAAGACGAAAAAAATCGTACTACGAAGAGGTAATAATGAAATATCTATTACCATCATTAAAGTAGGAGCAAAGAAAAAATATATGAGGTGGCATTTTTTTGAAATTCATTCGAAGATCATTCATAAATGAAAATAAAAAAATTAATGTGTACATACTAATGTACATAGGCCGTTCTAAAAAAAACTCGCTTTACATCCCTAAGTTAAAACAATTTTTGTAAAGCATACCTTCACTATATACAATCGGTTCTTAACGTAGGAAGCCCGATATTTTTATATCGTGGAGACAGTTTTTTTGTTCCAACGTTCATTGACCTTAAGCACCACAGTAACTCAGTTAATTAAAGCTTGCCAAAAGCATTAAACTTTTTGTTAAGAAAGTATGTATTTCGATAACTCCAGTAGAACTATTTAAAACAACTGCCGGATGTACATATGTAGGTGTCACAGAAAATAGTAAAAAAAAATCTGTTGCTAAAAAATTAACTCGAAGGTGTCCGGCGAACTTTTTTTGCCTGTAAAGGGGTACGGTCAAGTGTACGTCAACGTAAATACTTTACAGTTCTTTAAGGATCTGCCACTCAGCGGGTTGCCGACGGGCTCTCAAGAATTACATTTTACCAAGTTTTAGGCATGTTCCCATCGGAAATCGGAAATAAACTTAAAAATTGAAATTTTCGCTAAACTGTGAAAGTTAGTTAATAAAAAATATTTTCGATGTTCTAATTTTACAACTTTTAATAAATCTTTTATTTAGGTTTTTGAGAAGTTAATACGATATTTTCAAATTTCATCCCGACACAATGAGTGGGCGGGAAGCCGTTGTTGCGAGAAGGCATCGCTGAACTTCTATATGGATGCGCCAAAGTTTGACGGAAAAGTCGGTGTAGGAGCCTGCGGCTTAGCCGAAAACAGCAAAGTTCTTACTTGTTTTTATTTTACTTTAGTTTTTCTTGGTTCAAATTACAATTACATATAAAATAACAATTTTAATATTTTTAATACTACGTGAATTAATCTCTTCGCGTATATAAGTATGTACATATATACTTATATGTATGTAAGTAAGTGCATATCTATATTAGTTAACTGATATATTTTTATAACTAATTTGAAATTTTAATTTTTTTACGGTCAATAAATGTTAAAAAATAACGCCAAACTTGTTGGATTTTGACTGTTATATTTATATGTATGTCATCAAAATGGCACACATGCGTCAAACATTTATGGGGATATGCAAAACAATGCCAAAAAGTGAATTATTAAAATGCAATAAATCACAAAAAAGTCATAAAAAGAGTTTATGGAAAATTAAAAATTTGCAAATTTATGCACACATGTGTATCTAATGTTTAAATGTATGTCTGCACCTACATAAATACATCCATAAAAAATAAAATTAAAGCCAATCATATTTCAAAGCCGCAGAACTAAATTTGAAAAATGAAATATATTAATTTTTATGACGCGGTTAAAACGATATAAACTGAAAGTTTATTGCACTTCAAAAGAGATGAATATCAGCTAAAATATATCTATAGAATGAGAAGACATGCAAAATAAATTTAAAAAAATGTTAATATTTAAAACCATTTTATAATTTAAGATCGACGAAACCTTAGTCTTAATCATTATTTATTTTAAATAATAATTAATTAAAGGCTGCATGCTTTACAATTTCAAAGATTAATATTTAGAACATGCTTGTGGCTAGGAAAATCCTTTTTTTAAGTGGGATGAATAAGCAACAAGAAATTTTTTTATTTGTATGTATTTTTTCTCAATTAAATAATAATCTTTCATAACTATGCCGGGCACCTGACTGAAGTTCTTTTATTACTTTTTTTTGCAGAAAAACAACGTTTATCACTTTGTGTGGGCTGTGGCGGTCAAATTCACGATCAGTACATCCTGCGCGTCGCCCCCGATCTGGAATGGCATGCGGCATGCCTCAAATGTCAGGAATGTCGACAATTTCTGGACGAGAGCTGTACGTGCTTCGTGCGTGACGGCAAAACGTATTGTAAACGTGATTACGTTAGGTAAGTCGCAAGATTTAAATAATTGCTATATAATTGTATAAGAGAAATTTTCGTTTTCAAATTTGTATACGGCGTTTCAGTTTTAAATACGTTTTGACCCAGGTTTTGCACCTACAATATTTATTAAAGTTTTGAGAACGCAAATTTGCGTTTCCATTTTTTTGAATCTATGTTTTTGTTTTTGATACGTACATTTTCAAGTCTTACTTAAAAACGAGCTTTTGAGAATTGAATATGTAATAACATTTATTAAGACAATTTTTAATTATTATTTTGTAAGTTACTCTTACCAATTTTTTTTTTGTCACAAAACTCCATCGAATCAGCGGTACCCATTTTATTCGGGTGGTTCAAATGGAGATATACATACATACATATGTAATAATCGTCTTTTCTGGAGAAGCAAATGCTATCAAAGCTTCAAGTGACTTTTTTGTCTGCACACAATTTTTTCGACAAATGATGCAAACATACAAAATGTTTTTCATGATAAGTGGCGTTTTAGTTTTAAATCTTTTTCTTACTTAACTAACTTAAAACAAATTTACGTTTTAAAATGGTCCCGTTTTACTTTACTTGTTGGAAATTGTGTCGCACTACAATTCGTAGGAACAATATTCTAAAATGTTTCAGTTTAGTTTCGAAAACACGCATTTTTGGCGATATTTTTTCTCATTTCGTTTATTCTCATCAGTACAAAACAAAATATATTATAACGTTAGTTTTTGTTTTGCAAATGTTTCCTTTTAAAGTCGTAACTACAAAAATTGCATTTTTTATTTTGTATGAAGTAAAACTATATCAAAGAACTCAAAGAATTGTATTTTACAATTTCTTTTAAGAACTTACGTTTTACCCGTATCTTTTTCTCGGTGTGTTAATGTTATAGCGCTTATAGCGTTAAATGTTTGGCCAAGCTTCTCCTCCAATTTGTGGTGTAAGTCTTGATGCTGTTAACCAAATGATAAATGGTATAATTTTAAATAATAAAAAAGGATGAATCTAAAATATTAAGAAAAAAAACTTAAAAAAAAATTATTATCAATAAATGAAAACCGCACTTGAGTCCGAACTAAGTTGGGCCAGGTTTGTTTTTAACCATTGGCACGCCTTTAAGTCGCTTATCGTTTGCTGCCAAAAAAGTTTACCATTTTATTCAGCATAGTTACGTACATATGTATGTATGTATGCGTCTATTTTTATAAATGAGTAGTTCGTTGTTGGAGGATGGTTCCGTGCGCATAAGTGGAAAACTTTTGACTGTCATTCACCTGGTAGTGGCCGGAAGTGATTTTTGTGATTACGGTTGAAATCGCAGCTCACAACGTCCGGATATTTATATCCACGTATTCTCTGGGTAGCAATCAAACACCCGTTTGGGAGCGAGCTAAAGTGAGAAGGCGTAAAACTTCGCGTGCGCTGGGTTTGGGTCCCGCCACGTTTAACCCCCCCGCTCAATGAAAAATTCCGCCGCCGAAGAAGTAGTTGGATTTCAGCGAGCCCGAAAGAACAACTGGTACGATGAGGAATGTCAAGAAGCCGCAGAGAAAAAACAACGCCGCCTGTAGGGCCACGCTGCGATCGGGCGCAACGCCCGACCATGTGGGACCATTATAGGGAACTGAACAACGAAGCGAGACGTATTTTCCGCAATAAGAAGAGAGGCCGAAATACGTGAGTGCGAAGAGCTTGAAATGCTTGCCGACAGGAAAAACACCCGAATATTTGATCAGAGAGTAAGCCGACTTACGGCAGGTTTAAAGACCGGGGCGTACTCCTGTAAGAACAATAATGGCGACCTAGTAACTGATGCCAGAGCGTACTTAAGCGTATTGTGTAAAAGACTGAAGCCCACCGTCAATAAACTGATGGGACCTTATAAGTTTGGCTTTAGGCCTGGCGAATCCATCATAGATCAGGTATTCACAATACGCCAAATCTTGGGAAAGACCCGCGAGAAAAGAATCGACACACACCACCTATTTGTCGACTTTAAAGCCGCTTTCGACAGCACTAAAAGGAGTTGCGTATACGCCACTATGTCTGAATTTGGCATCCCCTCAAAACTCATAAGGCTGTGTAAAATGACGTTAAGCAATACCACCAGCTCTGCCAGAACTGGGAAAGACCTCTTCGAGCCGTTCGAAACCAAACGGGGCTTCAAACAGGGCGACTTTCTTTCATGTGACTTCTTTAATCTGATGTTGGAGAAGATAACAAGCGCGACAGAACTGAACCGATCAGGCACAATACTTTACAAGAGCATACAATGGTTGGCATATGCCGACGATATCGATATTATCGGTAAAAACAATGGCTACGTCTGTTCTGCATTCTCGGGATTAGAGAGAGAAGTCAGTCTTGAAATCCAACGGCGTTGGATGGCGAATACCGCAGACGATTTAACGATGAGCTGTATGAGCTGTAGACATAGTGCAGTGAATTAAAATTCAGCGGCTCCGCTGGCTTGGCTATGTCGTACGAATGGACAGAAACGCTCCTGCTCTGAAAGCATTCAACGCGGGCCGCGATGCTGGTAACCGAGGAAGAGGAAGTCTTTCTCTGTGTTGGAAAGACCAAGTGGAGAAGGACTTGGCTTTACTTGGCATTTCCAATTGGCGTCAGTTAGCACAGAAGATAAATGACTGGCGTTATGTTTTGGACTCGGCTAAGGTAGAGTAATTTCGAGTTCTGCCCCTTTTGAAGACGTTGTGCGATAACTCTTTCGGACTGTATAAACTTCCCTCATTTGCTTGTAGTTATCTGTAGTCATTGAGCACATTTTCCAAAGCGTGAAGGAGAGCAATGTAACGAGCTAGAGAAGCCAACCCGTGTGGAATTCCCCGATTTGCAGGGAATTTCAGTTCGCGTGGGGAATCGGGGAACGAACCGTTTTTGTGGGGAATTTCAGCTCGTTCAATTCTAGTATATTAACTTTTCAAATCTTTGTCGCATTTGCTTTCATTTAACGAATAAACTAATTTATTTTTATATTCTAAAATGAAAATTTTTAGCCACTTAAAATTTGCACCTTATTATTCTAGAATTGAGTTGGCTACAAAAATGCGTACTCAACATTTTTCTATAAAACTAATTAAAAATCTCGACGTTTTTACGAAAGTTTTTTGAAATTGTTTCAAATATTGCACAAAGTTTGAAACTTTGACTTTTGCGGTTTTTGTTAAAGAATCAACTATATTTTTATAAAAAAAATAGCTCAAATTAAATAACAAAAAAAAAAAGAAACAATAATAATTGGTGCGACTTAAATTTTTGCGACCACTGCATGTATGTAAATATTGCTTACATAACTATTTTTGATTCTTTATTTGTTAACTTACTTTATAAGTTTCGTTTGGTTTATCAATACATATGTACATGAATTACGTTTAAAAATAAAATAAACATTAAGACCAGCAATATATCAAAAGGCATAATTTTTTTTTTTGTAAGTATGGAGATGTCTATGTGTGGGGAATTTTACGAAATTTCAGGCAAAATCGGAAAATTCTCAAAAATGAGTTGGCTACCCTGTAACGAGTTGGCCACCAAGTTACGCCCTCGGTATAATGAGCCTGATTGTCTTTAGCCCAAAACCTCGAAAATAGCGTAAGCGGAATTTTTTCAAAATTCACTTTTTAAATGCTCTAAATTCAAAAATTTTTTTCCATCGGCCCTTTTTACTATGACGGTTGGTTAATATCCCAGATTCTACTTGATTCTCAAAAAAAATGCGTTGTTGGCATTACACTCGGAGGTTTGCCTGCCGAGTGGCGACCGTTGTTAAGAAAAAATCAGGCCCTGCTGAGTGGTAGCGCGACCTGCACTACAGCGGCTAAATGTACATACATAGTATTAGATAGTGCTCGCCCTATAGATACACATTTTATATAGAAATGGTATTGTTATTCTATTGCCCATTTGTACACTTGACAATTCGAGATCATATTTACATTATAATTTGCACATTTCACCTCATTGCGTATGAAGAAATTCTTATTATATTTTTCGCATGATTTTCAAATTATAACATCATCCTAATTAAAAATCATATGGGAAATCACATGCTTCAGGTTTGGCAGTCAGACAGCTCCTTACCGTAGTTGGACGTCACGGCCATGACAATAAAGGATAAGATATTAAATTGTTTAAGAAAACACGTGGGGCCATTGCTTTTTCGTGGCCCAGAAATATTTTTTTCCTTTAAGAAAGCATAGGCAAATGACTGAACCCACACCGAATACAATTTTTACGGTTAAGGCAAGCTAAATGTCCTATCCTTCCATCAAAGTGGATATCAGTGACTTCCTAATTGGCCCAAAACGTTCAGTCGAAGTTCCCAGTTACTGAATCTGCTAGAAATACATAAGTAGATAGATCCTCTAATAAGAAAAGATATCGCAATTTTTCATGCCGTCCAAATACATAGACAAGGGATTTCGTGCTTTAGCTTTTTTCCTAAAACAATAAACGTCTCGCAATTACACATTTTTTTTTGTATTTATTTGTATGTTGTAGAGAGTACATACATACACACATACCGCTAAAATGCAAATGAATTGTACAAATTAAAATCTCTAAGCGCAAATTCGTACTCTTCAATGGCATTTAGCAGATCTTCGTTAAATACACACGCACAAACGACAACAAAATAACATTCAAATAACATTCGAGATTATTTACCAACCAGTAGCTGATAAAAGATAAACATACATACATACAAATGTTAGTAAATAAATATTATAACAAATATTCGTAAATCAGTTATTGTACCATAACCACAGACAGGGCTGTCATGCGCAACTCCCACTGCTCGCCGCTAATCACTAACCGACGGCGCTGTCAGTGAAAATATTTTATTTGTGTGCTAACTGTTTTTGAATATATTGACTGCTGCAACGTGTGCGATGTGGTATAATTGTATTGTAAATAAATATTTCAATAATTCATTAACACGCGCCAGGCTATCGGATGATAAATTAGCACATTTTTCAACGAAAACAAAAAAAAAAACGATTACCACAACTATGCAATAAAAAAATATGTATGTATAAAAATTAAAAATATACGCACTCATACAAAAGTTGTGTTTTTTTTTTGGTTCCATATTAATCTGAACTTTTCCCCCTTTGTGTAAACTCACGAATTTATGAAAATTCATGACAATTAAAATGTGTGCATTTCTAAAATAAGCAAGGAAAAGCAAATAAAATTTACATTTAGGAAATGCTAATAAAATTACAAAGAGCTTTTTTACAAAAATATGTCTACATAAATAATTACTAAAATCACATAGCTTTCTATACAATGTAATACCTGCGCTGTTTACCACAATAATAATGCGCCATTACAAGGTTATGCGCATTTGTTGTAAATAATAAAATGAATATTTAAATTTGCTTATTAAATTTTGTATATTAGGTTGCCTCCGCAAAAAATGCCGCGGGTTTTTTCCACTGGAATTTAATACTTATATTTAAAAACTTACGCCAAATACATGTAAAAATATTAAGGTTTCCAAGATGAAAGTACCTGCAAAAATCGTGCTTTTTATAAATAAAACTAGTTTTTAAGAATTTTTTTTTCTAAAAATCACCTCTGCTGATAGAAGAGTTTAAGCTTAAAAGGTCTGCATAAAAATGTTTGAACACTTTATCAACAGAAAAAGAAAATAATGGGATGTGTTGGAGATACATTCAAGTCGGTCCAGCTCACCTATATCTTAATATTTTTGTTATATACATACATACATATGTTGGCGAAAATCTTCAAATATAGTAAATTTTATGATTCCGATGGAAAAACAGTACCGATTTTTTTTTTATCGAGAGTGATGCGCCCTAATGTACCTAAACAGTAGTGACCATCAAAAGCATAGAGTAAACCCACTTTAGCATTTCAATTATATTTTTCTTTTAATTCAAATCGTATATATCTTTTCAGGTTATTTGGTACAAAATGTGATAAATGCGGTAGCTCATTTAGTAAAAATGACTTTGTGATGCGGGCAAAAACGAAAATCTTTCATATTGAATGCTTTCGTTGTTCGGCGTGTGCGAAGCAACTGCTGCCAGGTGAATATTACAATGACATACATACATACATATTTTGCTGTATTTTGTTTAATTTTCACTCTCATATAAAAATGTTATTTTACATTCCATTCAGGTGATGAATTTGCGCTCCGAGATGGCGGCATTTTATATTGTAAAGAGGACCATGATGTTCTGGAGAAATCTTCACAAAGTAGTCTAACGTCATCTTCGATAGAGAGCAACAACAATAATAGTAATAGTAATAATAATAATACAAGTCTTAGTAATAATAATCATTCCAGCGAGTTGGGTTCAATGTCAGGTGAGTTGAAAATACATAAACGTAAGCATATTTGCAAAACTTTTTAATTATATAAAATATACTTAAACTGAAGCTTCCAATTAGTAGGTTAGCCTTTTCTTTTTTTCCTTTTGTAGTTACAATCATTGAAATGCCATGTTTCCGTTGTTGGGAATTCTCAAATTAAGGGCTGTTTCCAGAAATGGGAAAGAAATTCAAAATTTGTTTAATCAGTTTCTAGCTCCCAAGAAAAATTTATAGCAGAAGCAAATTGTTTTTCAAGCAACAGAAATAATGAAAAATATTTCTTGTGGTTTTTCTTGAGAGGTGCAGGCGGATTCCAACATTCGCTATCCCTAATTTTGATCGCCAAAAATCTCCAAAAGAAAAGCAGGTGCCCCTAACGACATTCAACATGTAATTACAATCTCCCCATACTGCCAGATTTGGCTTATTATACATTGTATCTGTTAATTCGTCTTGTTGTATACTTTCAGGCCTTGCAAGTTTGTCAGTCAACTCGTTCTCTTAAACCCCGTTGTGCCCAGGTACCCAAGCACGATTGACTTGGTTGCTAAAAGTACATTCGTCAACAATGCCAGGGTCGGAAAGAGTCGCTTAAACTCTTTTACCCACCCAAAGTATTGAAAATACTTTCCTTGGAAAAAGAAACGTTTGGCGTTATTCTGCTCAACGAACAGCCATGCTCCTGGCCAAACCTCATAGTTAGATCAACCTTTAAAGGTTCTGGCGTATTCGAGACCTGGTTCCGATTGCACAATTCATTGATCCCCGTCTGGTATAACGACATCAAACCGTCTAAGTAACCTAAACTTCTAAAGCCTAAGTGAGGGCGTAAATCTAGGGGTGGCAAACCGATAAATGCGTAGCGGCATATTTGTCTTAGCAGCATACTTTGAAGCGCAGTAGAAATCACAATATTGATGCGCTGAGTTTTGTGACTTTGTTGGAATAGGGATGTTAATGAATTTAATGATAGTTTAAATACAAAACCCCGAATTCTGTGCACTTGACAAATTGTCAAGCTTGAGTATTTGTCAAAATAACTACGACTTAAACTATGCTACAAAATTTTAATTTTAGGCGCTTTGAAAATTCACAACAAATCTAGGCGAATACAGACAAATCTTAGCGACATAGTTTTAGGCGCAAGTGTTTGACAAATAGTCAAGCTTGATTATTGAGGGGTTAATCTTAAAAAAAATGTCTATAGTGACACCCCTTAACACAGGCAAAGTCAAATCATTATCTCTTCTTCTTATAGTGAAGAGAACCACACTAGGTTTTAGAATATTGATGAACAGACCAAGCGTCAATAGAGTTCAGTGCAACTTGCGCTAAGCTGCTCTTTATGATGAGTCCGTAGTCCGGTTTAGCGAGTTCATCACTATTGCTGCTATACATCTGATTGTTCAGATGTGGGGTTTTACATTAACACTCCATCATTTGGTAAGATACTTTCAAAATAATTAAACAAAGTCTACTGAGGAAATCGTCAAGATCGGTGCTGTACACAATGTGTTACGTGTTCTGGCCGAGCTTCTGCTCTAATTTGTAGCGTGCGTCTTGATATTGTTTTCATGGCAGATATACACTCAAAGGTTTCCATTGCCCGCCGAGGGGCGGCCGCTATTAGAAAAAACTAGTTTTATTTTATTTTTATTTTTTGATGTTGTCGGAAACCGGGCTCGAACCCGGGCCTTACTGAATGGTAGCGGGCACTACTAACCACTACACCACAGCGGCCACCATTACAAGCTTTGTTTCTATATTTTATTTAGTTCACTGCCAAACTGACACTTAGTTGCGACTAGACGGATGCACATTTCCTCTAACTTAAATAGTTACCGTTAAACAAACCTCTTAGCAAACCTCTAAACCATTTACTGGCAATATAGTCACCGATTACCTTTCTAATATTGTAATTTGTTACATTGATTATTACTCCTATAAGGGCCGTTTGCACCATGTCTAGTTAACGCTAACTGGAGGTACATCCTTCAGTTAAGCACGTTAACTGCCTTATCGATCACATGTTATATGATGGGTGTCGATAACGTCGATAAAGATGTTTAACTGGGAGTTAGAATTAACTAGACATGGTGCAAACGGCCCTAAGAATCTTTAACTTTCTTTCACATGTGTACATCTTGATTATACTAACCAATCTCTTTGTATCGCATGTTGCCGCCAATTGAGAAAACATTCGTAATTACGACTTTGTTCACAGCACAATTACAAGTTGTTATCTAATTGGCCGACGCTCTTTGTTGTACAGGTCCCCCTCGGACGAGATTGTCTCTTCTGCTAACCAATCAATCGAATGTAAATGTCTATGTCTATGTAGTTCAGAGAGTCGGTAACTTTTTGATCAAAAGCAGCAATGAACAAAATTATCGAGGTAAAAATTTGTAGCAACAAGCAAGATATCGCCTACGATCGTGTCTTCGATCTTGCAGCAGATCATAGCATTTCATATAGGGAGCGGCTTGCAAAAAAATCAAAGTCAGACAGATATGGCTATTGATGAAAATCAACGATGACGATTTGATTTTATTTGAATGGAAAAAATTTCCAATTTGCGAGCGCCAAGGTCATTTGAAAACGAAGTTAATAAATGTGTTGATTTGGTAACGAAAATGCGAATGACATACAGAGATCTTCGCTGAAGAGGTTAGAAGCTGGCTATGACAACTAACAAATCGCAAAAAGTAGCCACTCCTCAAGAAATGTTGAGAGGTGAGCGCTGAGACGACTTAAATCAGCCCCCTCCCCTCGAAAGCTCTGCTTATGCGCCTTACCTTTTAAGCCATTACCGCCACCTAACCAATCCAGCTTGAAAACCCGGTGTATCCAGATTCGGCATAGAGTTAGGATATTACGACTTAGCGACTTGGCGCACTCTTGTTAGCCTTCTGGCTAACTCAAAAAAAGCAAAACTAATCATTATTCCATATAAGACCGTCGCATCTTTTGCCGCAGTCAATCGATCTTCAATAACATAACGTAAGCGACATCGTTCGCAATGCCGATCTAACATGAAAGTACCGCCAAAAATAAACAAACAACCATTGTACACCACAATGACAAGAGGTACAACAATCTGGATAGTTCATCAAACAATTGCGAGCGATTGGAAATCAAACAAAAATCAAAAGCGTAAAGAACAAGAAAATCAAAACAGTGATCGCTATGATAAACAGCACAGAACACGATCGCGATCATATAATCAGACGTGTATCGTCTGTGTGGCGATGTAGTGATGTAGTCGTTGGTGGTGGTGGGCGGCAATCAGACAGAGAGACAGCGCGGCGAGTACAGGTGACACTGTGGATATCTGCATTTCTCAAGAAGTTGTCAACAAAAAATACTAACAAAATCGTCTTCAGCGTCACAGCCAGCTAGCCAGCCGATCAACCAAGCAACCATTCACTCGCTCACTCAGCCGGCCATCGAGAAGAAGTAAGCCTCATCATCTACATATTGGCTTATGGTCTTGACCCTTCATTTCGTACTATATGTATGTATGTATACCTTAAGGTCTGTCTGACTGACTGTAACACGCTTGAGCGCTTCGTTGCGTTTTGTTTGTATTTCCATTGGCGGATCGGCGGCGGCACTTTTGTGCCATCGCCGTAAGTAAATGTTGTTGGTTTTTCGTTTTTTTGCAAATATGAAAATTCCATGCCCAGTGCGAACAGATGGACAAAATGCGTAGTAAATATTCGTACATATGTATGCATGTAAATATGTATGTAAAAAAATTCGTATAAGAAAGTACCGGCCATGTACCTTCTCCCTTCTAGATGTCTACTTGCGTGCTTTCACTAATCCTCTTACTGATATTCTACACTGATCCATTCTTCCTACGTTGATCAACAGGTTCATGATATGTATACTTGAATATGTAGATATGTACATACATATCCATACATGTACATATGTAAGTAGTAGATACATGCTGCATACATATGTAAATGTACATTTATTCACATACATACGTACTTTCCAGCACATCTCTTCTAGGATACTCTTATAGCTCCATCTGGTTGCTCGTAACTCCTTATCTTTATTAGATATTGCAGGAATTGGTGTCATCGTTGATATGATATGTAGCCAAGGCAATTTGTACGCTCGCCACTTTGCGAGTACCAAACTTGCCAACTTCTTCCATTCGATTACCTTAATCATCGTAAATACCGAGATTGCTGCTGTGATATCGTTTTGTAATACATAGAGGCTGCGTCTCTTTATACATTCCGGATAATCCCATTTCACAGCCGGAACAAACAGAATACGTTTGAAATATATGTTAACATATCATCAGGAACATTCTGAAGAATAAGCATGATACAATAATTTTTAGATGGTAGTTTCACTTCTTCTTCTTATCCGCCATGTTAGCTATCTGACAGAAAACGTGTTTCGTATTTTTTGTTGTACAAACTTTTTCAAAAATAAATAATATAAAAAAAACTTAAATAATACTTCTCAGTCCCATAGAATTTGTTTTGATAACTTTTGATTTTGAAATTTTAGCAAAAGTCATTATAAACAATCTATGAAATTGAAAATGAAAAACGTGGAGCGCATGCAATACAAAGCATTCGATTTAATTGACAATAGTCAAACTACATAACGTAGACCTAAAATTTCTACAGCGAAAGTAGAACTTTGAAATCGATTTTAAGCGGTTGTTATTCATATACCCACATACATACATTCATATATTACTTTTCATATCAATTCGAGTGTAATAGATGTAAGGACACAGAGCCACCGCACACCACAGACTTTATCGGCCGCCTATTTAAATGATAGGGCTCGCTTGAAATATGTACATGAAGATGTATGGAGGTGCGCACATTACACCAGCTTAATCGCTCTGACCAATAAGTTGTGGTGCAATGGAAAGACTAGCGACCACGTCTAAATTGGCGGCCGATAAAGTCCGTGGTGTGCGATGTATCTAATCCATTATAAACAAGAAATATTGCTGTTATATTTTCATTTTTATGATTTTTATTCATGTGATTAACAGTGGCAAAAATGTATGCAAAAATACGTTTACAGTATGGCTGCTTTCCAAAACGTCAAAATACAAAGCATCAGTCTCTTTTATTTCTAAACCTCAGCAGCTTGGAATGCCAAATGTACGTTAGACTT